GGGGGGGGGGGAGTCCTAATTTTGGAACTGGATTTAGTCAGTGCACACGTTGGTGTCGCGTCGCTCGATGTTATACTCGTCAGCTTTGTTTGTGTGCACAGGTGTCACAGCTCGGATATACGAGGAAGAAGACGAAAGTGTCAATGCTCGCTCGACGTCCTTACCACATTTTAAAAATAATTAAACGATCCTCTCATTCTTCTTTTACTTCACTGGTGTCATCAATGAGATAGTTCAATCCCTGAGATGAGGGGTGAGGACAAAATAAACTCTTCACTGGGTGTTCACTAGAAGGTAACTGTGAGCTAGCGTGAAGAGGTGGGAAATACGGATCGTCAGAAGATGCGCCTCCAATCAGTTGACTAGGCCACAAACCTCCGATGTGCACGAATAGTGGTATGTACCTACTTTCGCCTTCCGCCGAAAAATAAACCGGCTGCGAGGCGTCGTGGCTCACATTTGCAATGTACCCCTACAAGATAGAAGAGTATACGTAAATATGCGAAAAAATTTGGAAAATTAAGAGCCGAAAATGATTAAGAGCTCCTAAAACTTCAACGTATGACTTTCCACCATGGTGACTTTATGGGAACTAGACATAATTTTTATGTTGAGTTTCTTTAGCACTATAGTGCTTGTGAATTACATACGCAAATCAATACCACCACCTGTTAAGGTGTTTTGAATACTCGAGCGCCGAACAGTGGATCGAGTAAATAGAAAAAGTCGGACATGAAATTGTTGACTAAAACTGCAAATTTTGATGTTTATTTCGTCACAATTTGAGTTTCAAAGGGTGGTTATAGAAGAAACGTTCACGAGGAAACCAATGGAATCACTTTCAGAAGCTCCAAGTTTAGTATAAACGGAGTTATGAGCGTTTAAAGTTTCCAAATTTTTTCCGACCTCTCCAATTGACTCGATCAACTGTGCGCCGAGGGTCCCGAGGTCTCAAGGCACTCTCCTGTGACAGGTTGTAAAAAGGTACATGGTACAAGTAAAGGTCTTGTTTATAAAATCGAAAGTCGTTACGCTGGAGTCCACCAACAACCCTTCCTAAGAATATATCGAAAGGGAAAAATCTTCTCTTTAGGATTTTCTCCACTTCCAATTTGCGCGTATATACGTCAGATGTGGTCATTTTTTTGCACCTTAGAGCTACACTACACCCTCTCCACTATTCTCAACCTGCTTGTTTGAAAACGTGGGCATTCAAGAGAGGTTATTGGTCTCTCGACCCACAACACACCTAACAGTCTCTAGACGCGTCATGTTTTTCACATTCAAGCCCCGCAAATTTTAACACCGCGCGCGAATTATTCATTTCGAACGATTCGGTATGGTAAATATTGACACGGAAAAATTAGCACTTAGCGATGAACCGTCGCAAACGCGCGTGGGTTCCAGCCAGTGCGGCTGCACTATTGCCATAAGAACGATAAGGAAAGTCTTTCGCTCGAGTCACTCGCTGATTGATGATTTTAAGTTGGTGCCTGGCATGACTTTTTGATAACAATGAAGAATTTGGTTTTTTGGGCTCATTTTTTTTTTTTTTTGCAACTTTTTCCTTCATGCAACTTTGGGGGGAAACTATTATAGTCTTTAGTGAAACGAATTCGGAAACAGAGTCTCGTTTTGTGAGTACATTTCCGCGAGACAGATAATTCGAAGAGGAAGCGCTCGGAAACATAGCGACAACGCAAGAGAACCGCCGAAACACGTGCTACGATTATAATTGGTGTTCCAGATTTTTACTCGTTTGTTTATCTATCTGAAAAAGCAACAAACATCATCCACGAGTGCGATTTTGGAAGGCTCCCTTACTTCCCATTTCACTACGTTAAAAAGTTCATTCGCTTCAAACCAATCATTTTATTTTTCCTCTCATAAGAAAAACAACGATCTCGAACTGAAGTAAAAAAAAAAAACACAGGCGGATCCAGCAATTTGGCAACACCGGATTTCCTCCATTTATACCTATGTTAAATAATCGATTCTTGCCGGAGCACCTGGTCCCTCCGGAAATCGATACATTTCCGTGGGTTTAAATGGAGAATAAACAATGTTGCCAATTTGCAGGATCCGTCAATGAGAAAAAAAAGATGAGGCCATTAGTCATGTTTGTATGCAAAGATTCGAAATGTGAAGAGGACCGGTAAAGTTTTTTTGAAAAAACTATGTAGGTGGACCTCTACAGCGTCTTCCTCAATTTCTGCCGGTATTAGGTGCCAACATAAATCTCCAAAACGTCCAACTAATTATGGCCGTTTCGCGGTAGGTAGTACCTATGTAGTTTTATTCACTCAGTTGTGAGTTTGCTGGACATTCAATCGTTTCCGACCATTTCATCATTTTCAAGATAAAACTAAAACGAAATACGGTAGAAGTAGCAACAGTGTTTATATTTTATCATAATGCGTTAAATCTCCCTCCCCCGTCCCCCAACAGACTTTTCAAGAAGGCTAATGATTTAATCCATGACGAGTATAGCGTAAGCACGTTCGTTTGAACTGTAACCTGGGAGACCAGGAACATTTGATCATGTTACGCTGAAAGGAACTATGTCTCACACAAACCTTGTGCACATAGTTCCTTTTAGCATAAATACGTCCATTTGAGCGACCGTATTGCGTAGTCGCGATCTGAAATGAAAGTTGTCAACTTTCACGCCCGGCTTGTTGGAGCTGGTTTGACAGAATTATGCTATATAGGAAGGCCGCATTTCTGCCCGTTTAAAACAAGCGAAAATCACCCATCTACCCGAAGAAGGGTCAGGTTCTATAAAATGTAAATTGTTCTTGGTGATTTTGAAAAATAATCACTTTGCCTACTGATTTCGTGAATTTTATGCAAATGGACGGAAAATTGAGAGATCACACGTGGTTAAGGGGAGTCGGGAGTTGGGAGTTCCTACAATGCTAGCCCATGTTTATTTGTCCAACTTCAATTTTTTTTTCTCAGAGCCTAGAATATGTTTGGTATTTAGATTTTTTATCACTACCGGTATTGATTCACTTTCGTAATGATCCCAATCCGATTCAAATCCGTCGCAAAGGCGCGGAGCTGCCCTGCCATAAAGGACGAGAGTTAGGATAGATTAGGTCACGCAACTAAATTAACTTCGCGGTAACGCGAGAGGTGTCATACGGAAATGAAGGCGCATCACTGCTAAATCTGGCAGCTTCCTTCTTCCGAAGCTGCAGTTATCGGAGTTTTAAGTTTTCCTTCTCTTCTCATTCGTTCACTGTGCAACTGTGCAAGTACCATAATAGCAGATCTACAGCTACAGTCTTTTTCGGCTAAAAAATATATTTTTCAGCAAGAAAATTCAACCCCACCTGACGATTTTGAAAGCTACTTTTGCCTTTCTGTTCAAGTCGCTTTGATTTTCAAGTAATGTAAATATCGATGGCCAAAGTTCGAGACCACGCATCTCCGTTTGCGACGTTGCAAACTTTCTGTCATATTTTATTTTTTCCGGGGAAAACTAGTTGACGTATCTTCTTGAAAACTTCCTTGATTTTTCCTCTCTGTTAGACAAATATTATATGTGAAGTACAAGGTATGAAACTGGCTTGTATCTTCAAAAAAACAAGAGCTGAAATTTGAAACTACTGCAATGGAGATATGTGGTTTCGTCCTTGAATCATAAATGCAACAAAGCAACACGGAAAAAATTAAATTTCTGATTTAACAATTCAATTGCTAAAAAAAAAGTGCCTGCAACGTTTCAACATAGATTTTACAACAAAAAAATGCTACTTTAACCACTATTGTAAGCTAATTTAACCACGAGGGTGGTTAATACAGAATTTTTTTGTTGTAAAATCTACATTGCAACATACTAGTCACTTTTTTTAGCGATTGAATTTTTAAATTAGCAATTTAATTTTTTCCTCGAAAACAATAAGGAAATTATCATGATTCACTCTAAAATTTCCGTGAGAAAGCAATGTTCCTTTTACAAAGCCGCAGCTAAGACCACCAGAGGAAAAGATCAACTTACTGGCATTCGCTCATGATTTCCTCCTGCGTGCGGACCTGCACCGGCGCCAACTTCTCGACGGACTCGTCATAGTTGCAAAAACACTTGGTAATTTTCTCATCGAACGTATTGACTAAATCCTCGAGGGACCCCGAGAAGGTCTCCGTGAAATTATCCGCCACCGAGGACACGGAGGCCTCGGGGAGGGTGGTGTCACCCTTGACGTTATCCAACTCGCACTGCACCGCGTTATCGTTCTCGTTATCGTTATCACACACGCGTTTCGGGGACTGCAAGCTCGTGTTCTTGAGGTTGTTGATGTTCTTCACTTCGTCCTGCTTCTGCTTGAAGTTGTCCAGGTTGGCCGACTTGAACCGGAAATCCGCGCCCCAGTCCTCCGTTTCCTCGAATTGGGCCAGGGGTGCTTCGAACTTCAACTCGGCCATCCTCTCGTTGAGATCCAACATAGTTCCGCGCGCGCACAGGTCTCGCGGGCAACTGCCGAGCGACAGATGGGCCCCTTTCTCCCGCTCGATGCGCGCTCAAGCCCCTCGCACACCGGGCATCAGGCGACGACGGCGCATGCGTAGTGGCTTCTGCGCATGCGCGGGGACCGGTTACCCGCGCCGGGTTGATGGTGTGAAGGGGACTTGTGGAGGGGAGCTTTCTCGGCAGAGACGAGGTTCCCTCCCCCCGCGTGGGTCTTTTGCTGCAGCGCGTCGGCCGCGCTGTATCGATTCATCTTTCCCCGTCCCCTTCGTTATCGGGCTCCTTCTCCGCCGCTGCTAGTTCCAGGCGAAACAGACGATGTAAACAAAACGGAGGATCTCCCGAACGGTGAATTGGGTGACACCAACAGTTGGCATTTTGGCAAGCTCGTTTATCACCCCGACCTTGCAGTGTGTGCGCGAAGTCACCTCGCACAGAACTGGCCGGTCTTTACTTCAGGACGCACATAAAATACTGTCATAAATTTTAGAGCTCATAAAGCTGCTTACGCCTGTCGACGAGTCAAGAAAGAACGTAACAACTTTTCAATGTTGCAAAGTTTCCATCCGTATGTTGTGCTTTTAGGAGACCGTATGGTAATTTCAACTGGAACTTTCGTGGATTACTCCTCTGATTATACGAAACTAACGACAAACTTTTGGACAGATTTCTAGATTTCTCATACTCGTGTGTTTACTGGAAAAAATGTGCATTTTTAAGGAGAATTTTGCAACGGTGGGTGGGATAGAGTTAGGGTCTTTCGTCTAAGAAATGAGGAATCTACCTACACAAAATTTTGCATACGCGAGGTCCGACCGGATATGATTCGCAAGATATGCTTTTTCCTCTACTATGTGGATACAAATATGCTAAAAAATTCTCAAGCGAAACTATTTGTAATTTCTTACTTTTTTTCATTGAATTTTATACTTTTGGAAAAATTAAATGAAAAAGCCGAACTTGTGATACCTAACACAATAATCTATGGCAATACGGCAATTATTTTGGTTCACATTGTTTGTGATAGGCTCTTGCATGGGTTTGTTTAAATTTTAATATAATAAAAATAAAAATAAAAAACGGGTAATAAAAAAAAAAAAAAAAAAAAAAAAAAAAAAAAAAACTTCACCACCCAAAAGCGGTAAACGAACCCAACGAAATCAGACTATATCGACGGTGTAAGTCGGCAATCACATAACTCGGTTTGCGACGTCGCAGACTTCCTGTCATACTTTATTTTTTAAACGGAAAACTACTCAACGGCAATTCTTTAAAATTGCCGTGATTTTTCTTCTCTGTGCGAAGAAAATTCTGCATAAACTTCAAGGAATGATGTCAATTTGTTCTTCTTTAAAAAATAACATAGAGGCGGAGATTTTCAGACACCGCAAACGAGATGTGTGATTGCAGACTTAGGCCGTCGATATACATGATTTCCCTCAAAAAATGTGTTTATTTCAACACAATACAACGAAATACAAAGTTTGTGAGTGCATTAATTCTTTATACTGTTGAGTTAATTGGTTATCTATTGAAAAAAAGTTGAAAAAAAATAATAATTAAAAGAATTAAACCTTGAAAAAAATAGGAAATGTGAAATGTCGTCAAGCCCTGGTAAAAATTGGCAGTAGAATCTGTGTTCCAAAATACCATAGACCTACAGCTGACTGTAAAATTTCCAATAGCTTCTATAGCCGGCAACACAATTTCTTATGTCCTTTTATAGCCGATGACGACTAAGCAACAGCCTGGCGATAAAGTGTATGCTAAACGTTACTAATTACGGATGCTAGGACTTAGTGAGTTTTTTCACTACCGCTCTCTTTTTTGGCAGTAGTATCTTGATTTATTTTGCGAGGAAAGCGCCGTACTTTTGAAGGATGCCTGCCATTCCTGACATGTTGGAGCGCCTGCAATTTCTTATGATACTGTGCAATACCTCTGGTGTGTAATAGTTGCGCCGTGGTATGCTGCGGCGCCGCGCGGCGGGCGGGCGGCCAGCGCGAAACGCGCATTGGCGCCTTCAAACCTAACTGGGATACTTCACGCATTGCGCAATGCGTGAAGTATCCCTATTAGGTTTGTAGGCGCCAGTGTGCCGTCGCTCCGCCATGTGGTAGGCTCTAATATTTAATCTCGTGGAGTCAGCGTTTTTCAGCTCGTGAATTTGAAATGTTTGCACACTCTGTATGGATTATTCTCATTTTAATTGATGAAAAAAAAATATCTAGTAAAGGAAAATATAATGTGCGTTTCGTAAATATTAAGGTGATTCCGTACAAACTTGCGGATTTACAAAGCACACGAATTTCTACACAATTTCTCATAGCCTTTTATAGCCGATGGCGAAAAAGCAACAACCAGGCGATAAAGTGTAAAGCCCGGCGATAGGAACTATAGCCCGGCTGAATAATTTTTTATAGCTTCTTGTAGCCCGGCCGTATGATTTTCTCCACCTTCTACAGCCAGCTGTATGATTTTCTATCGCCTTCTTCAGTCGGCTATAAGAGCTCCTATAGTATTGTGAAACTCAGCTCCTATCGCCAATTTTTACCAGGGAGCTGATTTTTGATAAGGCTCCTACACTATTTATAACGTAAAATATTCGCTCTTGATAGAAAATCGCAAAAGGAATCGGTAAAAAATATGTTTGGTATCTTGATGTCTGTTTACTGCCGGGATTGATCCACTTTACTAATGATCCCATCCGATTCAAATCCGTCGCAAAGGCGCGGAACTGCCACAGACGACTCAAGTTGGGTTAGATTAGGTCACGCAACTAAATTAACTTCGCGGTAACGCGGGAGGTTTCATACGGAAATGAAGGCGCGCCACTGCTAAATCGAGTAGCTTCCTTCTGAAACTGCAATTGACGGATGATTTCAAGTTTCCTTCCTATTCTCGTTGGTACATTGTACACGAACAGCATATCGATGGCTAAAGTCGAGATATGCGCAACTTAGATTTCGACGTTGCAAATCTACATTCATGTTTTATTTTTATAAAAGGAAACCAACCAATAGTTTTTCTTGGAATTTGCCCCTCTAATTTGCATATATTCACAGAGAATTTCAAGGAGTACAGCAGATAGGCGCCGAGGGAAAGAGGGCATATATGGATTGCATTTTTCACAAAGGAACCAATAGCAGTTATAAACAGTTTCTGATTTGCACCCTAAAACTTGTAAAAAGACAAAAATTATCATGTAAATTTCATATTTTTGCATGATTTTCGTAATTTAATCGCAAAGGGTGAATTTGTACAATCTTAGCAACATCGCAATTCTTTTGGTCCTTTATGTTATTGGCGCCGTCACTGTTGGAGCTGCATTACTCCGGGATTTAAAACTTCTCTTCTCAATATCCTATCCTCGGCAGCATTCTAGGCAAAACTTCCGTGAAAAAACAAACGGCTGCTTTTTAATTTGAAAACCACAGTGAGTTTTCACTGCTGTAGTGATCACGCGCACATAGGAATCTTGGTTAGTCTCGCCTCAAAGAAAGAAGGAAAGAAAGAAAGAAAACTAAATCGATATCTGTATGTAGATGCTGCAATAAAGGAACGCATTTTTCAACATTGGCTATCGATGAGCTAGATTCACGGCTGTAATGAGTGCCTATTATTGGGTTGATATACAAGACGTATTACTTTCGCCCTTAATAGAAAATCGAAAAAAGAAATCACTAATAATGTATCAGAATATGTTAGGTATCGTGTTTGTTTACTGCCGGTATCAATGCACTTGATTAATGATCCCGATCCGATTCAAATTTGTCGCAAAGGCGCGGCACTGCAACAGGAAAGACTCGAGTCAGGTTAGATTAGGTCACGCAACTAAATTAACTTCGCGGTAACGCGAGAGGTGTCATACGGAAATGAAGGCGCGTCACTGCTAAATTAAGTAGCTTCCTTCTGAAGCTGGAGTTAAGGGAGAGTTTCAAGTTTCTCACTTTTTTCTCTTTCGTCCACTGTGTTCTCACAGCGGATGGTTGGCTAAAGTTTTTTTTTGGCTGGAAATCTGACTCTCAGACTCTCCTCTCCTCTCATGTCCTCTTCTCTCCTCTACGATCAACTATTGACGTAAATGCTGTCATCTTCTGCTGCGTTGCTTCGGATTTACTGTTGTGGATATCATGACTCTGATGACTCCCATTTATGTTGAATACATGCAGTAAGCTATGAAAAAATTGATAAATTGATGGATCAATGGTTAAGTGGGTCTTACCGGCTTAAAGTAATGACTGCAGGCGTTGCAGAAAACTTGTTCTGATTTGGGCACCTGCCTCGATATGCCGCGAATGAACTTGCGGCAGCGGGTGCAGGTCTGCGGCCGGTGTGTCGGGGCCAAAGAACGGGCGCGTTCTAGCTCCCCGACAACCATGTCAGCCGGCCGGCTTCGCCTGGTCACACATTGCCTCGTCGCCATGTGGGACAAGGAGTTGATGAGTTGTGGTGACAGGAAAAACCCGACGCTGAAAATGATAAGAAAAAAAGAGTAAGTCATTGTGGGATAGTGGCAATTAGAACGAAATGAAAGGCCGGCTTCGAACAAATAAAGATGTAGCCAGTTCCTCGTTTCACATCGATTCATTCGAATGGAGCCAACCCCATGACGGGTATAGGTAATTGCGTATCGACAGGCACCATAAGGTAATCTCGTGTATACCGAGATCCAATTTCCGAGGAGGGATGCCTCCTGCTGGCAGTTTGATTAGCCGTACTGAAGGACATCGGATAAAGCCGAGGATATGATGGCAGTGTTTGAACAGTTGATGAGGTATGTGTAATAATGATCACATCTGCGGGGCGATTATTGAAATTTTTTGTTTGTCGGATCGACATAGATGACATAGGTTAAAAGGCGGAGCGTGATATTGGTCGACTATGTCTTAACGCTGCTTTATCGTGCCTTTGTCAGGTGGAATGATCGACAAGCTAACGGCACCTCTTAAGTTTCCGACAGTAGGTCGATCATTCCACCTGACAAAGGCACGATAAAGCAGCGATAAGACATAG